GTTTCATAAAAGAATTCCTTTTTGATGGAACAATTAACCGGAGCTAGAGGTCCAAGTACGCATACCATCCATACCCATGGTTAGTTTAGATCTGTCAAACTATGTTATAGTTCATAAATATTATACATATGTATATGATTTTTTTTTCTTCTTTATTTTATTGTCTAGGATTAAAATCTGCCACACCTAAGTAAAATAAATACTAAGTATTTCGGTACAAAAGATAACTTTAAATAAAAGAAGGACAGTTGAAGAAGTATCTATTAAAAATAAATTTGTATAAATCAAATAAAATAATAATAAAATTAAAACGGAAGAAAGCTTTTGATAGTGTCTGAAACCCGGTTCTGGATTACAAACTACGTAAATTCCAACACCATTTATACTTCCTCATTTTCTGACCCTACCTTACTGACAGATACTTCAAAATTAAAATAATAATGCCAATACATCTCTCTTTTCCTGTCTGCTGTACACAGTTTACGATATACAGCTGGCACAAGATGAGACATTGGTCCTATCAGTAAATAATGATCCATCCGGATTCGAATCAATACCTTAATTTAATCATATAGGTCTTTTGACCAAAAATAATGAAGTATTTGATTAATTCTTTTTTCTATTTATATATTAATTATTTTTTATAAATATAAATATTGTTTTTATTAATTTCTTTCATAAACACAAACAAATAATGTCGAGGTCAAAGAAACCGAGGAACATCGGTGAGTATCGGTTGGATGGAAATTAAACTGGGATCGGTTGTGCACACTCACAAGAGGCAGCCCGGAAATGAAGCGAGTCCCCTAATGCTTAGTCTTGCCCTCTAGATCGAAAGGGTTCTCCCAGCCTTACTATTGCCATCTATATAGCTATACATTCTATTATTGTCCCTTTTCATATAATTTATTTATTTATAATTTTATGATGTATAAATATATTAATTTTATGATAAATAACTTCGAAACTCTTTTAATATAAATTTATTATTTCGAGGAAACATCAAAACCCTTTATAATCAAACAAAAGTTGATTGCATTTTTGTCTCCTTTTTTTTACATATGGCGACGTTTCGGGCCACTGCTCCTTTCAAGTCTTAGAAATATTTCAATAATAATATTTTTAATATTTGTAAAATATTTTCAGCCGATTAACAATAAATAATTATTAAAAAAATACTATTTGTGAACAAAAATTGTACTTAGCATAATTATGTTGACGTATGAAAATTGTTAAAAATTATTTTTTATTTTTCTTAAAAATTGATTTACCTTGTATCATATTTTAAAATTCAATGAATGACAAAATACAAAGAAAAAAAGTAAAACTGGCGAACATAATATTACATGTTTATTTATTTTGTATTATTAATATATATGGATTTGGATTTGGATCGTCTAAAAATAATTTTAAAATCATTGAAATATATAAAAAAATTGTATTCTTTTTTTTTTTTTTTTGTGTTTGGTTTAATTCAAATTCCTTCGTTATATTTGTTTTAACGTATTTTTATTAAATTCCTTTAAAAAGCAATATTATATTCTGCTACAATAAATGATATTGATAATAATGAATTGAGGGAAATAACTAAAAATATTTAATTAAAGTAATTAATAATTTCTTCAAGGTAAATTAGACAAAACAGAACAAGCTTCTCATTTGGCTAGGAAGGGAAAAGTATCAGGCATGACACAAATAAATCACATTACCGTTGAAGAATAAATACATGAAACAAAAGAAGAGCTATTAGAAAATTGGGAAGACCGATGTAAAATACAACGAGCCAAATTATCAGAAATAAAAAACCGAATGCAACACATGGGCCACATGCTTCAGAAAATCGAGAAGGGAAGAAATAATATTGTGCCGAATGCGAATTGGACAATGTCTTTCACACACGGATACCTTCTCAGAGGTCTCGATTCCGCCCACCTGCCAGAAGTGTAACAACACACCTCAGACAATTAAACATTTATAACTAGAGTGTCCCCAATACGAAAAAAAAGAGACAAAAATGAAAGTTGTCCACGACATTGAAGAATATTTTGGGAGACAGGGAGGAAGATTCATTCTCTTCTAATATTTAATGAAAACAAATTATTAAAACAGAATATAAAGATTAAGGATTAACGCCAATGAAAAATTGTTGTTTAAATGCAAGTAGACTTTGACTTGACTTTATTTAAAGCCTTTAAAGGGAACTTTTAACCAGCTTAACTACGTTAAGTTCTATTTTTTATAAAATGATATAATAAAACTTCCTTGTTTAATTACTATTAAGCTCATAAAAATTAAGTTGAGGTTTGTTACAGAATAAGTTGATATTTACCTCTGATGATATAAAAATAAGATAATAATGTGGTTTGATATTTTGTAAAACCAAAAAAACTAGTATTTTTAGCAAAAATATCCACGATAATTTATTTAAAAAGCTTTAAGTTTTTTAATTGTGTTTCATTTTTATTTATATATTTATTTTTAACATTATCATTTTTCTGTTATTTCATTTAATTATTTTTTTTATCGTACAGATGGTGGGAATGAATTCCTGCATCAATATTATTAATGTCGTTAGTGGCGACAAAATGTAAAAAAACAAAACAATGAATTTAATAACATTTTTCACGTAAATATGTAAATATTGAGTTCAAATCGTATTCAAACCAATATTGACAAATCAATATCGTCAATAATGAAAATAAATCCGAGTGCTAATGCCCCATCTATTACATAAAACTTGAATTACTAATATATTGTAAATCTCTATTACATGACGTTACAAACCATCAAGCTACTCATGAAACAAAAGCTAAACCTGTCAAACTGGTAGAATTTGATCATTTTCGATATCCTCTAAAAGTTTCATACTTGACATAGCTTGTAATCTTTGTTTTAAATACCGTTTTATACGTCCTTTTATCAATCAATCAGAATAAGACATAGTTAAACTGAATTTAAAATGAAAATTTCACTCTGTAGAAAATATTCCACTTTTTAAACAGGGTTTCCCACAATTTTTTGTGGTTGCATGAAACTTTTTATTTTTCTTATTTAATGCTTATGTGTTCTTATGCACGTAAAGTAAAAAACATTTCGGTCGTTTACTTCCAAAGTGAATCCAAAGAATAATTAAGAATTTTTCAGGCAACGCGAAAAATTATATTTTCTATTCCTGTGATATATAGTAAAATCAAAAACAATATCTGAAAATAATAAATAAAGGAATCTTTATCTGAAACATATATATCTGAAAATCTCTGATTTATTCAATAGTAATTAAAAAACATTGAAACATAAATAGAGTCCCTTTTGGAAAGAATTAAACTTTAAGGCCCGTTTGTGAAAAAAAAGCACACACAACTGAATGGTGTTTGATTTGTAGAGTTAAAAATAGTGAATGATTCGGGAAACAGGGAGTTAAAAAAAAAAGTATTATAAGAAATTAACTTTTTGTTTGAAAAAAAACAAAAAAACAACAACGCCCGTATTGGAAATAAATTTATTTTTACACCACTTTTATTAATAATCAGGTTCGTTTTTGAAAATAAAAATAATTGTACAATCGGGTTTATTGGGTGTTTTTATTGGAACCGATACTTTTCTCCATTTCCATAAAAATCCGTTGGGATTAATTTTGAAAATAAGTGAATAATTTTTAATTATCATTACATTTTGTGAATAATTCGGAAGAGAGATGAGTTATAAAAATTGTACTTTAAAAAATTGAATTTTGTTTTACAATAATTGGTGCAATAAAGTTATTTTTAATTGTCATTTGAATAAAAAGGTTAAAAAATTGTTTGATGCATTTTTTGTTTTAAGAATTCTTATAAGGAAAAGTGGCCGATATTGGAAATATACTTATTTTCACACAACTTTTATTAATAATTAGGTTCGTTTAAAAAAACAAAAAATAAAAATTGTACAATCGGATTTATTGGGTGTTTTTATGCGAATCGATACTTTTCTCGATTTACATAAAAATCGATGAGGGATAATTTCGGAAATAAGTGACTAATTTCTAGTTATTATTACATTTTATTAATGAAGAGGTTTAGGCAATAAAAACTTCCTTCAATGCAAGCAAATGTTATATTTGTCACATATTCCTTTTGTAAACGTTTCGGGATTTCCTTTCCATCTTTAGAACTCTTCGTTGCATTCAATTACAATTAATTTCTAGAAATACAAGTATTATTAAAAATTAATATTGTTACAATGATTAAATTAGTTGACTATTATATTTAGCCATTTGGTACTTTGTTCTTTGTCTTAGTTCCTACATTTTTTTATAATTGTTATTTGGAGCAAACACATTACTCGACAAATAGTTAGTGTTTATCTTTGTACTTTGTACCTGACTATTTCTTTTTTTCTCTTTAATATGGCTATTTATGTTCGTTGGTATTATTAGTTTTATTGATTTAACTGTGTTTTAATTTAACGGTGACTTTTTGTTGATCTCTATAAATTTAATTCTATTAAAAATTCAAGGTTCCTTAAAAAAATTGGGCAAATAGCGAGAGAGAGAGAAAGAGAGTGATTTAGGATATATGGGAGTTTGAAAGATTGAGTTTGGACTTTATATATATGTAGATGTGATATCTATTGAAGTCTAGTTTATCGTCGTTGCATCTAATTATTATCCTAGCCAATACAATATTTTTTTAAGTATAGAATATTTTTTCTCAATTTATTTAAATTTAAATATCATCAGATTTAGTTTGATTGCAGATATTATTGATTATTTTTGTATTGATTTATTTTTTTATTTTAGAGGCAGAAGCCGGAAGGGATGGAAAGAGATAGCTCCGACGGACCCCCCATCCCACCCCCTCCACTCCGGCCCACAGCGGATACAGGACCTCCCGGATACAGGAGCACTACAGGAGCTCTATAAGAAGCGGATAGATAAATGTATCAATTAGACAGGACCCGGGGCGAATAGAAAAAGGAGCTTACATTAATTATCATGGAGGGGCCGGAGGGGTGGGTTGGGCATGCGCCCCGGGACGATCAATACCCAGCAGACACCTGCGCCCCAGGCAAATTGGGGTGGGGGCGCTCTAATTAGCGCTCCGTCCGCTCTATCCGTCTTCTCCTTCTCTCTATCTATATCTATAATTAATATCCTTTTAATTAATTAATTATAACCATAAACAATTAATTTTGTGTAGATAACTGATAATGAACATAATAATTAAATGTGAATTAATATTTCAACCAGTGAGAACTCTCACTCTAGATTCCACTAATCCCTAAATCATTCGGCACAAAAGTGACACCAACGAAACATGTTAATTTATATTATAGCCAGCAGCACACAATCGGTGAAGTTTCAAGTCTTTAACCAAGGCTGTTAAAGTTATAATTTACTTAATAAGTGATCAGCTTGCCCCATAAGAAAATATTCCTCCAGTTAACAGAAAAGAAATAAGACACAACTATCCCTAAACATAAACTATACTAAAGCCCTATTGTTTTGGTGCAGAGGAGTCTTGGTTAGTAGTTCTCTCACTTAACTCTTTTCTAGTCATGTGCAATCCAGTTCCCATGACTTAGAACTTCAATTCTGACCTCACTTCTTGTTAGTTTGAAATATACCATGAGTTGGTTTACGGTTCAAGACCTAATGTGTTATTTTGGTCCCATTGGGGCCTCGATTTGGAAGGTAAACGTGTCGTTATCTTCCTCTGAAAGTCGCATGTCATGTGGTGGAGTGATGCCAAGTTTTTCCATCACACAAGTTAAATTAATCTCTGATTGATCTCAATTTGAACCCTCTGTATCCGTTTACTGGATCTGGTCATGGGAACTAGGGTTCACAATAACCAATGTATTACGCTAAAAATTTATAGAACCACAATTCCTCATTCCATCATAAAAGACGAGAAAAAAAAATCGATCAATAAAACTACTTAACAAGTAGTGCTGATTTAAGGGTTAATAAAAGTATAGAAGTCATATCTGGATATTTTTTTATTTATAAAAGATACCAAAAAATTTCTTTCTCTATATTATTCAGAATTTCCAAAGGATCATAGAAGCATTCTTCTCCAATCGCCTTTTCAATAGATTTTCAGTTCAGAGAAGACGATCATAAATAGGAAGCCATTCTTCTCATCTATGCATTCGATGTATAAGGGAGGTCAGGAAAACACTTTTATTCATACATAAATAAAATATTATCGAGGCAGTATATTGAACAACAAATTAATGAAGCTTCATACTTATTATACTGTTAAAAGAAAAATTTACATAATAAGTGATTAGCTTGTCACACTAGAAAATATCCCTCCAGCTTAATTGTGGGGCAATAATACACAGCTTCCCCTAATTTATACTAAACCATTATAATATATAATAATGTAGTCAAGGAAAATTGTATAAGACCTGTTTGTTTGTTGCAGAAGAAGCCTTGGTTATTTCATACCTTGATATTTTTCCGTTTATTAAAAATATTTAATAGCTCTTTTCTATATTATCCGAAATGCCCAAGGAATCGTAGAGCTATTCTCATACATCTACTTTTTCAATAGATTTTTATTTTGACCTAAGAATCACAATTCATATTAAAACTGGACATTAAATGCAGGATTTAAATCACAGTGCCTTAGTTGCTTCGGAGCTTAGTTCCGCTTCGAATTCACACTTTAAAACACAATTTATCCAGGCTCGATTCGTCAACTATTGAGACCTTCTGTGTTTTGAAGCATTCTAATTTTATAACGGATTTTATTTAATCTAAGTTGATTTGGAATTTAGGGATCAAAATTGAAATTCCTCACTTCTCAACGAAATTCCCATTCCTTTGACTGTCTCATTCATCAAAATCAATCGCTCCAGAAAGCCGAAAAAGGTATTCATATTTTCGTTTTATGTCTTCGGTTTATTGCAAAAAGCCACTAAGTACACTTTTTGTCGATTTTTACCAGAAGGTAAGTAGTTAATTTTATCATAATTATCGATACAAATGACTTCACAGAGCAAAAAGTCACCATCTGGCAATTGATCTCTTGTTTCCTAAATAATGTTAAAATAGGGCGCCAAAGTTCACTGTCTGGAACTTAATGACTCCTTTCACTGGATGAATTGATCAGATGGTTAATAAAACCAACTAAGTGAGGTAAGTCTAAATCCTGTTCTATGTACTTGCAAGGTTATAAAACTAATATGGTGTCTTGTTTAACTATGATAGTGTGAAAAAGTCACTATGTGCGTCGTGATTTAATTTTTATTTAATTTTCTTTCATTGTTCTGTATGTGTTAAGTATTTTAATTAATTGTCGAAAATAGAATACATATTTAAAATTGCAAATAAAAAAAAATATATTCAAATTGCTATTTTAGTATTTTTTAATGAATCGGAAACTTCAAATTCGATTATCCCAAATTCATAAAAATGTTACTTAATGACTTCTTGCAATAAACCGAAGTTTATTGCAAGAAGTCATTAAGTTCCAAGAAGCCTAAGAAGTCATTTGGAAGAATAGAAAGAGGTCATCACTCAGTGATGGTTTATTGGGGAGTTTGCTTTGATGCCACCACAAAGCTTCATTTTTGTAAAAAAGGAGTTAAAACAGGACGATATTTTGGAACATGTTGTCAAGCCTCTAAATGATACTGTTTGCTGGAATTCGTTCGGTTTTGCAGCAGGATTCGGTTCCAGCTCATAAGGCCAGGCAACTCAGCAGTGGCTGCAAAAGAACATTCCAGAGTTCATCTCTTGCCACAGATTGGCCACCAGGAAGCCCTGATCTGAACCCACTAGATTATCGGCTTTGGTTCGAACTGTAAAGGATGCCATGCCACAGAGCACACCATAACTTGGAAAGTCTCAAACAATCTCTGGTTCGAGCAGTTGAGCGCTTTCCTCAAGAAGTGCTTGCGTGCTGGTATTGATGACACATTTTATTTTCTAATAAAGTTTTTGAAATTTTTTTTTTTTTAAATCTGTGTATATTTCCTTGTAATATTATTTATGACAGGACTAGGTTGTTACAAAAAAAAAAAATTGTAATGGTCTTTCATTGCAGGCGAATCTTGATTAAAAATTAATGTTTTAATTGTAGATATCATAAAATTATTTTTAAATTATTACAAATCGATAAATTACATTTTTATTTTTCTATTGATAAATAATAAATTTAAATTGATGTTTTAATGACAGGATAAATTCAAAGGGAAGATCCTGTTACTGAAGTGGCGATAAACCCTAGGAAGGAGTGATGGTTCTTTTTTTTTTTTTTTTTTACAGTGAAATAAATTCTATCTGATCATAAAACAGTGATATACTAGACACTGCCTGTATGGAATCTATAAAATAAATTTAACTGAATCGCATTAAATTTGACTGCTTATTTATGTTTCCATTGTTTGTTATTTTGGACTTGATTTTATTTTTTTAATCCAATATTGTTAATAATATATTGTGAAATATGTAAACATGGTAATTTTTTTTATCACATTAATTATGCAGCAATTATTTTGAAATGTAAATTCAAATTAATCAATTGATCAGTTTCACGTTTATTTATCTAATTTTAACAAAACATGTTAACTTGCTAAAAGTTGGAAGAAGTTTAATAAACTCTCAAAGAAAAGAAAAAAAAAAAAACTTTTCCTCTTTTTTACAATTTTTACAGTCAGTCTCTTAATAAATAAAATAAAATAAATATATTTTGACAAAATGCTGATAATTGACAAAATGAGTACTAAGTATTCATTATTTTTACAAACCTCTTGTTTTATGAAACATTAAATCTCTCATTAGGTTTAGAAGAAATAAGTTGTTAGTTTGAGAACAGTGAGAAATCATAATATATAATGATCAGAAAAAATAATGCAAAGCAACATATGTTGGCATTTTTGCTTTGGAATTATAAATTTTGAAGAAGTGGTATTAAAAAAAGAAAAAAAAAAAAGATTCTGGATGTTATTTATTTGTTTTTGTTAACTGTAATCTTGTTTGAATCTTTTTCTCTGATGTCTGCCATAACTTTAATTTAAATGTTACATCTGATAACGTTAAATCGACCTGAAATATGATACGAATATTGTTTTTAAATTGTAGAAAACATATTTTTTTTATTTGTTATTGTTGTAAAACTCGTTAACACCTTTCCCCCCCCCCCCTTGTCTTTCCAGAGTTACCAAACTGAATTTGAAGTTATAATAAGAATACTATGATTTATACAAGCCATCTAAAACCAAGTTAATACAATTGTAATTAAACACTAAGGTAATGTATTTTTTTTTATAGTAGAGAATTTATGGACAGGTAAATTGAAGGATTATTTTATGATTAAAGAGTAAAATGGTTAGTCAAGGAAATGATCTGTCACTGAATAACATATTTTTCAGTTGCCCTTATAGCTAAATTATAATTATACTATCAAAAAGTGATAGAAATTAGATTGAATATATAATTTGTCATTTTCCTTATTAAATTAATCTTTTTCACCCCTCCCAATGATTCAAGCTTTTTCCAATTTTCTATTACTTTACGTATTAATATTTATTTTTTTTAATTTAGCGACCTGAGGTTAAATAAACAAATATTGATAATTTCAGTAGAGGACAAAACAGTTAATAAGGGTTGCTATTACGAAAATAATATTTTTAAAGGAAGAGACTCGAGATCTGTAAATCATCGAGACAGAAAGCAATTAATCATAGAGATCTGATTCTTAGGTGATTGATTTCATCTGGCCCTGGCATAAACAGGAGGTTCTCAGCTGCTTCTGAAGCAGGCATTGCTAGAACATATGCTTATCGACAACCTCATGCTATTTCCGTTTCATATGTAAATTATCAAAACATTATTCCAAAAACATAAATTCTTGATTATCTTCCAGTCAGTTGTAATCCTCAAAGTATATAAGCTAGAGGTAGACAACTTACATCTTTGTGGTCGAATTGTATTCAATTTTGGAGAAAATTGCGGACAAGTCTACTTCAATATACCATCTTAAATCTTTTTCTAATTATGATCTTTTATCTATTATTTCAATAACATGAAATAATTTGTATGACTGTTGTTATTTCAACAATGGAAGGTCGTAAGTGCACTAAACTCATTTATAAATTTCTTAATAATGAGTTATAAGCTGATTAAAGTATAAAGAATTAATTATTAATATAAAAGAAAAAAACAAAAGAGACATATATGTATAACACATTCTTATGATTTTTCAAATCATGTAGAGTAAGGTTTACTGTGGAAAATGAAATTACACTTTTCTTCAACTTACTTTCTGATTCTTCAATCTTTCTTTCTTGAGAGGTTCTTCTGTATTACTATTGATTCCTCTCCTGATTTCTCCTTTCTTTCCTCAACTTTCGGGCGTACCACAAGGTAGTGTTTTAAGCCCTCTTCTACACATTTGGTATCCCTGAGCACCCTAGCACCATTCTCTATAGCTTTGCTGACGATACGGCAATACTTTCTTCTCATAAAAATCCCCACTATCGCTTCAATAGCCCTTCAAAATCACCTGCACGATCTTGAAAAATGGTTTCACAAATGGAGAATTAAAATCAATCCCAGCAAGTCAACTCATGTTAGCTTCTCCCTGAAGAAGATCTGGTGTCCTGCTGTGACAGTAGACAATAAACCAGTTCCCTCAAAAACACATGTACGGTATCTCGGACTATACTTGGACAAAAAACTCACCTGGAACATTCACACTAAATTAAAAAAACAAGAACTGACCAGACGATACAAACAACTGTCACATCTTTTAGACTACAGATCTCCACTCAACTTACTAAACAAGCGACTAATCTACACCACTATACTAATAACCTATTTGGACCTATTCATAAAGACCTATTTGGACATACGGAGCAGAACTTTGGGGTTCCGCAAAACACACACACATAAACAAAATTAAAACCACACAATCCGAAATACTTCGTAAAACCGTCAATGCTCCTTGGTTTATTTCAAATCACACCATACCCACATACATGAACATACCAAAAGTAAAATCCTACATACACAACATTTCACTCTTCTACTCTCAATCATCCAAATCCACTCGTTCTATCTCTATCTTCCTCCCTGTTACTTGGTGAGCCTAAAAGACGACCAAAAAGGCAGTGGTCTAGAGATGTGCTGAAAAGTTAAGAAAATATCAGGAATTCAAGAAGATATAATTAATGCCAACAAATTTGCTTGATGCGTTCCAACGCAGTGGCAAATTTTAAATAACAAAAATAAAAGAAAAAATGTAGAGTAATGAGACAGATGTTTTTTTGACATGCAGGGTAATAATAAAAGGTAGAAAAAAGACTATGAGCTGGTAAAATAAAAATTAATTATATAAGGACATTAAAATATTTCACATATTTATATATCATATCATATATTATATATCATATACATATTTAACACATATATATATTTCACATATTAGAAAAAAATTGTATTTCTTTGTTAATTTCATTAACTTGCTAACGCCATTCATCACTTTGATTACTTCGTTAGCCTGTCTATATATTATTACTATTATTGCCTACTTTGTTCTCAATATTTATGTTGTCTTGTCTTTGCTTAGCCCCGATGATGGCCTGAAACATAGGCCGAAATGTCGGCACAAGGAAAAAAAAAACATAATTTATTTAATTTTACTTTGTTCTTTCACTGACTGAACACATCAACCAACTTCTCATCTAATATCTTCTACAGTCAACTAATATCCACTATTTTTTTCTTTTTTTGAATATTAAATAGTACAATCTACTACATTGAAAAGCTATAATGGCTAAGGCTAAATCTGTTCATATTCTGAGTATGTTCTGATATGAATATGATCGAGAAATAAATATGTATGATTGAAAAGATAAATAAACAAAACAATAATAAACAAAATTAATAAGAAAAAAATAGCATAACATGCATAAGTAAAATAAGAAATAAATCAATAAGTAAATCTTCGTAACAGATTAATTCCTATGTAAATATTTATATTCGTTCATATGGAATTTCGAGCCAAGCATCCTCCAAAAGTGAAAGGCAAAGCAGGTCTCCATGAGATCCCAGTGCTTCTCTTCCAGCCGCGTCACTTGTAAACCAGTGAAGACTGAAAAGGATGGCACTAGAGCCACCGACTTACTTAATACTTCAGTGGAGAAGTACTCCATTGCCAGAACTCCAGAAGTGTATTTACAAGAGATTTCGGGCCAACTGCCTTTTTAAACTTCGGGGTGGATTGTAGGGATGGACGGAGCTTGGATAGGGATTGAGCTAAAGGATTTGGATGATAAATAAGGTACTGGTGAAAGTTTGAAAATCTGAATGGATGATGTCAAGGACAAATGGGATGTTAAGATCATAGCGTAAGGTCTTGTTTTTGACATAATATGGGGCATTGAATATTGTTCTTAGTGCTTTGGACTGGAAGGATTGGATACGCTTGATATTTGAATATTTAGATGTTCTCCACAGTTCAATTCCGTAGTTCCGGATAGGTTTCAGTATGGTCTTGTAGATTAACAGTTTGTTTTCAATCGAATGATGAGATTTCTGCATAGTAGTCTATACAGCTGGCCAAATCGTCGGTTAGGTTCTTGTCTTTTAAGTCTGGCATGTAGGTTAGTCTTTATTCACTATTAAAAAACTCATTTATAATTGATCGTGGACTAATTACATATCTCGTTTGTTACGTTTTTACAGGATGTAGCACATAATCTACGATTAAGCTAATACTACTCCCTCTTCAAAAAACGAAGGAGATGTACTATAATTAGATTAATTAATAAAGTTTTGATTGCCACTAGAGGTTTGGGTTCGT